GCTGCTGATGGTGGTGGTAGTGGTGGTGGTGGGGGGGGTGGTGGTGGTGGTGGTGGTGATGGGGGCGGAGGGGGGTGGTGGTAGTGGTGGTGGTGATCATGTTGATACATAGTGGTGATAATACATGATAATAATAATAATAATGGAACTTATATAGCGCACATATCAAAATTCATGGCGCTTCATGATGCTCATTCAGATTTATCAATGGCGCTGATCGGATGTCAATGATACTGCTAGTGATTTTGATTATGGTGGTGGTGATAATGATGATGATGATATAGTGAAGATGATGATGATGATATAGTGAACATGATGATGGACGAAGATAGTGGTGATGATGATGGTGATGATGATGGTGATGATGATGGTGATGATGATATAGTGAACATGATGATGGACGAAGATAGTGGTGATGATGATGGTGATGATGATATGGTAAAAAGGATGATGGAAGAAGATAGTGGTGATGATGATGGTGATGATGATATAGTGAACATGATGATGGACGAAGACAGTGGCGATGATGATGATGAAAATGATGATGATAATGGTGAAGAAACGTTACAACAAATACTCACATCAAGAACGTTGAGTTCATACTGTTGATGAGTAGCAGCATGCGTATTCTTGACGTATTCTTGAATCATCACAAACTCTGGGCTCGAATGTTCCAAAACCTAAAAATGTGTAAGAAACAAGTTAATCCTTTTGGCGTCGCAGCCTTGAGAAACTTGAACTAAATTTTCTCTCGAAGTAACTTTGTGATATGCTAGACTAAACTAACTTAATTTGCGGTCGTGAATTTTAAAAATACAACCGCAGATGTGGACAAGAAATCTCTGTTAAAATTTCGATTTTTTTTCTTTCAATCATTTTTTTTTTTTGTGGATCAATGAATTATTTAGCTCTTTGTGAGCAAGATTTAAGTCTTCACTCACACCAATCATGCTATACTCACATCTAGGTTGGTCTTCAATTTCTCGTAGTTCACATCAATAGGATCTTTAGCATCATCTCCACCGCTTTTGAGAAGACTGTAAGCCACTTCAATTTCCAAAAGGTTGTCCAACATGCTCACCTTAGACTAAAGACAATTCTAAATTTCATATGAGACGTTCGCACGTTTGGATTGCTTGCAGCTCTCCCTCAAGCAAAAGAAGAAGAAGGAGGAGGAGGAGGAGGAGGAGGAGGAGGAGGAGGAGGAGAAGAAGGAAGTAAAAAAGGGAAAAAAGAGGGCACAGAAAAGAAGAATTCGGAAAGCGAAGAGAACACTAACGCAGATCAAATGAAGAGTTTGTTGGGAGCGTTAACAACTCTTTTGCTAAAAACTATTTTTGAAATATAGGATATGTTCAAAGTACAGCATTCAATGTGGCTTCAGTTTAGAGATCAAAGAAAGATGTGAAATCACTGATCCCATAACCTGCCAGTAAATCGAACCTACATTTATAAGGTCCATGTTGTCCAGCATTGGAGGATTTTTCATGCCAAAGTCATGAGGTATCAACGTATAGAATCGATTTGATGCGTCGAGCAGAGCATTTCGATTGCCACCTTCTGATATGATCTGAAAAGGGAAAGAAATATTCCTTTAAATCATGTTTTCGAATATCGAATCTATCACAAGTAACGTTTATTTTTGTCTAAATTTTGTAATACTGTGCTTTTCTAAATGATTACTGCTGATGTTGTGTTGCATCAATCTCACAGGATAAGCAGTAATCTTGCGCATAGTGATTGATTCGACGTAAACTTTATGTTACTGATGCGTTTTGCCGTGATTGTGAGACCGACACGCCCGAGGGTTCTCCCTGATGCAGCTATAATTTGGCGCGCAATGTTTGCTTGCCCCGTGACCGTGCCGCGTGTAGTGGATTTTCTCAGTCATACGAAAGCTACCCTTCCAAAAAAAGACATTCAAATTTTATCGATACCCTGATGAACGGTGCGGGCAACGTCGCACACTAGTTCTGAAGAGCTGGGACGAAGGAAAAATGTCTTTGTCAAAAATGTCAAACATGCACTTTGTTGGCTTCCAAATATGCATTTTGTTGGCTTTCAATTATGTATTTTGTTGGCTTTCAAACATGCACTTTGTTGGCTTTTATGTATTTTGTTGGCTTTTAAAATACCTTTTGTGCTTCACCCAGTGTAGTGTAGGCTCGTTCGATTTGTCGTCTTGTCAGTTTTCCAAGTGGCATCTTCTTCAAATCAATCTAAAGAAAACAAACATTAATAGGGGTTATTACATGCAGTTGAGATGCGCAACAAGCCTTAATTGCAGCCTTTTTTCGTTTATTATACTAGACACGCAGTGGCGCTAACCAGGGGTTCTTAAATATCTTTAATTTTGTAACCCGACAATTGCTCGGCAAGACAACCAGCAAATATTCGTAGACCTGAGCCTACGATGCATTACAGCAGTACAAGACGCATGCGCCATAGCGGTTAATTGCAGTTTTGGCGACCAAAGAGGAAGAACGGGTTTCATTTTACAGGTGTTCCACAGGAACCCCGAGAAAGAAAGTAATCTATATACCTCGAACTCGACCATAGCTTTCTTCATGGATTCCACATCAAAAATCATCTTAATGAGTTCCTGTACTCTAAGGTGTAGTTTGCTCTGGCTTCCTGCAGCGATTGAGTGTTTCTTCAATTCTTCTTCATCCTAATACCAGAAAATAACACTATAAACGTACAGCAATAAAGTGTTCTGTATCATAAATCATCCTCACCTGTCCATAGTCAATCTCAAGAGGAAAGAATCGATTTGGATGTTTCACAAAAGACTTTCGGTTATGCCAACTGTTCCCTATAGACAATCGAGATCATTTTCAATGCCATTTCCATCACTAATTACATTTCTAAATCTAAGGAAGATTTTTATTTTCAAATATTTTGATTCACAGCACCTGTCTTCTCTTCATAAAGTTCACAAAATCTTGAAATCGCTTCACCACGTGAAAAACTCTATAAGAAAAACAATTTCAACCATTATCTTGAGATACTGTAACCAAGAAGGATTTTTGGATGTTTTAACAAGCGACACAGGCATTTGCTCGAGAACTTTTTTAAGCGAAACGAAGAATTGCGTTTGACGGTGTTGCAGTGGATTGTTAACTCAACACTTCAAGGCCCGCTGGTAAAGGCCGTTAGATGCAGTGCGCAACCATGAAATAGCATCTCATGTCAACCTAAAAAAAAGGTAAAGTACCTATATTTAACGTCGGTAGTTCCTTCAGTTGAAATTCAACTGTTATCAATGGAAGCCGACGGTGCGCACTTTACCCCCTCTCTCCATCAGTGCTCTGTTTAAAGAGTATTTAAAGCTGAAGCCACACGGATTAGAGAGAAGTCGAAACAGACGTGGAGATCCTAAGGATCGAACCGTGGACCTCAAGGTCTGAAGGCTGCGCAGTAACCAACTGAGCTACGCTTGCACCTATGTGCAGATCAAGAAAAACCATCTACTTTTACAACACAGAGAGTGCAACGAATGTCTTCGTGCAAGGCTTTATTGTCTTTATTGATATTATTTCATTGATTATTTCGTACCTCTAGCTTGTTCCCTCCAATAGATGTACCTACGCGTCCCCAAGAACGAAATAAATAGCACCTACAAGTGAATAGAATTAGGACGAAGAGAAGTGAAGACAAATAGAGAGAGAAGCAAGCAAGGAAGGGAAGGAAAGGAAAGGAAAGGAAAGGAAAGGAATGGAATGGAAAGGAAAGGAAA